TTCATATACATTCTTTTTGTACTGTACTTTACGGTGTATACATGTATATAAATAAGCATGTGTATGTGTATATGTGCATTGGTACATTACTATATATCACATGTGTATATTGTGGAGTTTTGTTTGTTATCTTTTATTAATCTTTCATTATTTTTCTCAGCCTCTCTTGTATTAAGCTGCAGTAATGTGCAAATTTCCAGACTGTGGGATCAATAAAGTTTTATCTTATCTTATTTTATTTTAAAAACAGTTTTTAGTCGGTAGATAACTGTGTTTTTGCTATGAAACTACAAATATGGCCGAACGGGGTGGAGTCGAACGCTCAGCGACCTGGAGGGGGCGGGGTGTGAAATATCTCACTTGTATTTAAAGAGACCGCACCAAAACAGCTTGCTCTGAGGCGCAACTCAGAACAGGGGTAAAGCAAGGAAAGCTAGGAGTCTGTGGAGCAACAAAAACGGGGAATTAAGACCAAAGCGTTGCAGTTTTATTTTAAATAGGCCATAAGTGAATGATTTAGATGTGGAAAAAGAAGGATTTAAAAGCATGATATGATACCTTTTACTTCCTGGCTGATGTTTTGAGATATTGCATCAGTATTTCCACATCATGTCCTTACCTCACAATGTCATCTATTTGTGAAGTGCACCAGCCCCTCCTGCCGCAAAACACCCCACAATATGATGCTGCCACCACCACATTTAACAGTGGGCACAATGTTTTCAGGTCTTAATGGTAGGTCTGGAAAATATATTTAGAATTTGTTCTCCATCTTCTAATGCCTAAATGTTTCCGGGTTGCTGTGGCAACAGGTCCAGGAGAGAAAACCCGACCTCCCTGTGCTCAGTGATACCCCAAAGTGTTCCCAGGCTAGAGAGGATACGCAATCCCTTCAGCAAGTCCTGAATCTTCCCTGGGACCTCCTACCAGTGGGATGCACCCAGATCAGGAAGAATCCTAATGAGATGAACCACCTCAGCTGTCTCRTTTTAATTCTGAGTCAGTACTCTGAGTATCCACAGAAGACAGAGCTCCTCGCCCTATCTCTAAGGCCTGACCCTATGAAGGAAGCTAATTTYAACCACTTGTCTCTGGGATCTGGTTGCTTCGATCATGATCTTCGTAGCAGACAGGTGTGGGCCAGATCAGGTGTCAAGCTGCACTTCTGGCTGACTGTTGGCGTGGCAAGTGTTTGTCGACTAGATGTGGGCCAGGTGATGGCACTGCTTAATGATGGCATGCTACAATTGGCCCAACTGTGATTTGTGTTTTTTGGTGCCAGCCCAAGCATAGGTAACCTCCGGCAAACCCCATCTGGGCCACCAAAGGATCATCATTCTTTGTTATATCTGTGCCAAGTGTTATGTATTGTGTTGGCCAGAACTGGGCCATACGCATTTTGCTTTGTGGAGATCCACACCTCATGACTGTAGGTGAGGGTTGGAACTTAGACCAGTAAATCGATGTAAACCTTCACCATGGCTGACTGAAGTAAACACCCTTATTACTGAGGACAAGTCCCCGATCTACTTATCCATCTCCCATTCCATCCTACCGTCAATCAGGAAAAAAGATGACTAGATTTTTAAACTCCTCCACCAGAGGTAAAGTGGAGGAGTTTAGAGTGTATTTATATTGTAATACCCATGGTATATCAATACCATGAAGGGTTTCATGGAACTGATTCCAAGACTGAGAGATCTGTCAATCAGATGAAGCCCTRCAGTTGTTTCAAAGACAAAACATTTGATTTTATCTCAGCTGATATTCTTATCACAATATAAGCTTCACCTTAACTCCTCCAGGCGTTTTTGTCCATGTGGACAGCTGCAGGTTTGAGTCCAGTTTGAAGGTGTGGATTTTAAAGCAGAAGCTTCTTTCTTGGCTGACACCCACTCAATCTGTGCTAATCTAAAACTGGCTTTACTGTAGATGAGGACACTGGTGTTCCAGTACTTTATGGTAGTCTTGAGGCTTGGTGGTGCCTGGGTTGTTCCTGAGCAGCAGTGGTGGGCACAGTTCCCCTAGTAGGGGAACTAATTTCTCTATTAGTGCTTTACGGCTTTTGCTAATTAAAAAATTTATTAGTGGATTAGCACTTGCTAAATTTATAAGCACTAACTGAGGTCTATAAATGTTATTGATCAACGTTAATGTTAACAGCTGAGAGTGGAAGCTGTCACTCATTTTTTTCACGTGTCACTTATCCACCAGGAGACATATTGCCAATATATGAACTCAAATACGGCTGTGGAATGTCAATGATAAGTCTTAAGAGAGCAACATGTGACTCATGTTGTCTATTGAAGAATGTTCATGGGTTGACTGGGTTATTTTAATGCTTTAGAATTAGCTTTTGCTAAAACTTTCAGTGTGTAAATGCTTTAGAATTAGGGGACCTAAATTTTTGATTTAGTGTTTTAGGGCTAGTGGAACTAATTTTTAGATTAGTGCTGCCCACCACTGCTGAGCAGTCATCCATCAATTCATCCTTTCTGGGGTCAGCTGGAGCTGGTGCCTTGTTCCTGAGCATCCAAACTAATTTCCTATAATCTGAAGAAAGAAAATTGATGAGTATTTTTCAGTGCATAGACTGCCACTAACATGCTACAAGAAGTAAGAGGCCAGGGCTATTCAATGGGCATCCATGCC